AAACAACAAAGTCTCTGTCGAAGATCGACAAGGGACACTTAACACACACAAAAGAAGTAGTCACCGATCCCTTGGCTGGAGTATCGACGACCATTTCTCAACTCAAAGAAGACAACACAAGACTCAATCTTTCAACACAATCAGCAGCAATAAAATAATGCGTAGCACCAGTATCAATAATAGTAATTAAAGGAGTACTATTAATAAAACATGTACCTCTAATAAGTCTGTCCTCGGAAGCTGTCTGATCCTCCACCAAAGCAAACACTTTACCACTAGACTGAGCCTTCTTCGGCTTCAGACACTGACTACCAATGTGCCATTCTTCCTTACAATTGAAACAAACCACATTCTTGTGCTCGCACTCAGATACAATATGTTTGTTCTTACTACAACAGTGACATCTCTTCACTTCAGCAGTGCACACATTACTCTTGTGTCCAGGTTTCCCACGCTTAAAACAAATCACACCAGCAGGAGCATCTCCCCCACTAGTCCTCTGACCATGAGCAACTCTTTGCTTACCTTTACCAGCTGGGGCATCATAAGGTTTACCATGATTCTGCGAGTGCTTACCCCTCTTCTCACTGATAATCTTGTAATGTGCATTATTGTCTTCCTCATAAATCCTACAACTATCAACCAAATCAGCAAAGACACGGATCTTCTGGTATCCAACTGCCTTCTTAATTTCCGAGCGCAACCCATTCTCAAACTTAATACACTTCAAAAACTCAGCATTTTCCTCAGCGTAATGCAGATAAAACTTGGTAAACTCAGCAAACTTGGCAGCATACTCAACAACTGACAGATTCCCTTGCTTCAGCTCAAGGAACTCGATTTCCTTCTTACCACAGACATCTTCAGGAAAATACTTTCTCAAAAATTCCCTACGGAACACAGTCCAAGTGACATTCTCACCTGCAGCTTCTAACTTCTGGCAAGTCTCTAGCCACCAGTCATCAGCCTCAACTGCTAGCATATGAGTCCCATAACGAACCTTCTGCGCTGAAGTGTAGTCCATTACGCGAAAGATCCTCTCAATCTCTTTCAACCATTCCAATGCTCCGTCAGGATCATATTTTCCCTTGAACGTAGGGGGATTCTCTCTCTGGAAAGTCGCCAAGCTACGAGATCCAGCATTCCCGTCAGCATTCAGCTTATTTTCCATCGCATGAGTCATTGCTTCTAAAGCAGCAGCAAGAGCAGCATCATTCCTTCCAGCCATCTCAACTTATCACTACAACACAGACAACTGTTAGAACTCAAAATAACATATTCGATTGTTAGACAACTAAGACTCGACGACAAGGTCGGACCAACCTTTTGCTCTGATACCAACTTTGTAACACCCCAATTCTACCCCAAGCAAATTATGCAAAATAAATCAGAGTTATAGAATTTCATTCATACAAACGAATCGGGACGTCACAAATTCTTCTAACAAATTCATTGCATTCATCATGGATATATAACACTTTTAATAAAACATCGGATGAACCATCAATATAGCATCTTTAATAAAATAATTCAACAACTACGCATCGGAATTCTTCAATAACATCTTTAAATAAAATAGCAACTTTGAAACATCTCATATTTAGTAAATAAACAATTTAAAGTTCAACAACTAAAAATCAGCAATCAAAAATCAGCAAGCGTTCATCCCCCCGAGTGTTACATATCAGAGCAATGACACCGACTCGATCTATTGAAGGTATACGGCCTTCACTCTCGATTACCTGCACGTTACCAACATAGGGGCAACATTCAAACAAAAGGGGTGAGATATCTAACAATATAATAAAGCGCATGATAATTAATATATTAAATTAGATCAATAATATCACCACTTCTCATCTCATAATCAACAACAATTACAGCATATATATACTCCTTCATCAACATCAAATACATCTCATTATTCATTCATATGATGCGACTCAAAACTATGCAAATGCATGTGGTACCATTGGAGCAGAACTCCCGTCTCAAAAATCTAATCTGCCAATTAATAGAGGCATCAACAAGGCATAGCCTTCATCTCAAAATTTTCCAATCCAGGCCATCTCAACGAGCATAAGCTCTATCTCAAAAAAATGCAATATATGCGACTCAACATGAATGTAATAACACACTCAGTTAACAACATCTCAAAACACATCTCAAAACAACAACATCTCAATCATCTCAAAACGACAACATCTCAGTCATCTCAAACAACAACATCTCAATCATCTCGGAACAACAACATCTCAATCATCTCAAAATAACAACATCTCATAAACATCTCAAAATATCTCAATTACAGCACCTCGTAAACATCTCAAAATAATTTATTAAACATTACTTTATTAATAACATCTCACTAATACTCAGCTGTATATTAATAATACAGTACGCCATCCTGTAACTCTGCTAATTTATACGTTCCTGTCACTAATCCTACTGTCATAATTCCTAACAGTAACCTGTAAACATCTCAAGTTCATCATTCTGTCCAAAATCCAGCATAACGGTCATCTACGGGAATTAATTATAAATCCTAAATTGGTTACTGGAATTACACCTCTTAATCATCATTTAAATCATCTAGAATAAAGTTCACCGCGTTATCTAATCAACGCTTCGAACGGCATCTCAAACAGCATCCTACAACTCAAGTTACAACAATTCAAAACTGATTCTGTCAAAATTATTCAGTATGAGTCGACACAAAACTCCTTAAATCGACTCATCCTGCTTCATCTGCATGCTATGAGTCGACACATCCTCCTTTGGATCGACTCATCCTGGCTTTCAATACAGCATGTATCGACACATGCACTCTTCGTGTCGACTCATCCTGAGTCTTGTACTCATCATGCATCGACACATCCGCTCTTCGTGTCGACTCATACTGAGTCTTATACATAACATGCATCGACGCAAGCCCTGCATGCATCGACTCATCCTGAGTCTAACAGCCTCCTTGCATCGACTCATCCGGTTTGAGGTCGACGCATCCTGCGATTTTCTGCATAATTTTCTGCGTTTTCTACTGTATTTTGCTACGGGAAATCATACTACAGCCCTAAAAACCTTATCATAACCATGATAATTCATCACTTAACATTAACTTACAATACTACATCGATTACACAGCATCATAACATCATTTATCCATCGAGAATTCATCAAGTTTGCTCTTCAGTGCTTATCCACTCTGTGAATAACCCAAGGTACCATTAAGTTTCAAATTCTATATCAATGTCAAAATTTGATAACATGGAACTTGATGATTGTTCTTCAAGATACTCAAGAGGTTCAATACTTTGTTGCGACGCTATCAATGATTCAGATGTCAAACAAGGGAATAAAAGGATCTGGAAGTGTAACGAATGTGTGTCGGCCAAGGTGTGGAATTCCATTAAAGACTTGAGAATTGAAGGATATGAAGATGATCAAGTGTTTGAAGGCATTGCTCACGAAATTTAAGCCAGGGATCAAAGTTTTGATGATGCAGTGAAGGTGAAATCAACTAGGGTTCCATGAATATGGGGACCTTTAACATTAGAGTGGGCTTGGAATCAAAGATGTGGCCATATTTAATAGGGCCTTACTTAGTAAATGGTTGTGGAGGTTTATTAAGGAAGAAAATGCAATATGGATGGGAATATTGAAGGAGAGATATGGGAAGCTAGCCAATAGACTGTTGTTCAAAAAAAGACATGGAAAAAAAGCTTTGGAATCTTTCTGGTGGAGGGATTTAATGAAGACCGGGGATTCATCTAAGGCTTCAGGATTTTAATGAAGATTGGGGATTCATCTAAGGCTTCAGGATTTACACAATTGATAACCTTTAAGTTTAACATTGATAAAATAAATGAAGTTACCTGTTCTACTCTATTGCAGTAATCAGAGTGATACTCTCACTCTTACTAATAAATATGTGGATCCAAAATCTACTTATAAATTGTCGAGTATTTTAAGGTTTAGTTTGTCATAATGTGTAACATATATACAACTCCCTAATGTAAATTCACATGTTCTTAGAAATTATCTTATCTTATCTGAAGTTTTTGGTTCTGGACTTGACAGTGCATCATTACCAGCCTTGATAGTTTCATATTGTCATTGTCTTTCTCCAAATGCTCGGTCTTGAACCTAGTCCTTCTGTTCTCAAACTATATTGCAATCAGTCTTGGCCACACTCCTTTCAATTTAGCGCTACCCATCTAACTCAGAACAGAGTTCACAGCAAGAATAACAAACTCAAAGTAACTACAACATCAAGAACTGAGTTGGATAGATGGAAGAACACAAAACCAAACATCAAACTTCAAACTCAGATTTTAGAACACGGTCCTTTGCCGCACATAGAGATCTTGGCCACGCGTCGTACTTGCAGTTCATCTCCAATCCTATGACTGTCGCAGTTTGTGCATGCAATCATGACAACTATATGTGCATGAATGGTAAAGGGCTAAAATAATAACCATTCATATCAGAGCTCAGTATGACATATCTGTATATGGAAGAGCAGGGCAGAAGTATTATAAGTCACAATGTGCTTATTCTCTAACTAACTCTTTCTCATAACTATAATAGGCATTGCGTAAGCAAATGTATACGTTTTTTTTTCTTGGATCACTTTCAGTCGCTTGACCTGTGCGCATATCCATCATCCCATCACAGGTATTTGACTGTTGCATCAAAATGAACTTTTTGCTATATAAAGCATCTAGATATAAGCTATTGTTGATAATAAGTTTTGTCTAGAGCAACTGTAATACAATTAGTACAAATTCAAACCCAGCAACACTTCTAAGACAACGAAAATTTTCATATTTTACCAATTTCCCTCAAGTTGGAACTCACCACTCTATTAGTTGGGAAGCATAAACATACTCAACCAAATGAAATAACAAAAAGCCTTTTTTTTCAATTAGGCGAAGCAATTACATAAGTTCAAAATAACAATGTACAACAATAGGCAAATATCTCACCTAGTTTTAGCCTTACAATAGACCTCTTGCAATCATTTCACTAAGAAGTTTCTCCGCCTTATCATTTTCATCTTTATAAAAAAGGGAACGGATAATTATTTCATAAGTAACAGCGTTCGGAATGCAACTATTGTCTTCCATTTTTGACAGCATGGCCAATGCTTCATCAAACAAACCTTCGTTACAAAGTCCCTGGATCATAACAGTATATGTATAGACACTAAGATTGTAACCTTTGACCAAAAGTTCTTCAAAAACCTTTCGTGCATCCTTTAGTCTTCCACCTTTACACAATCCATCGATAAGAATTGTGTATGTCCTCAAATCAGGTTGAATACCTTTGTCTTTAAATTCTTTAAATAATGCAATTGCCTTGTCAACATGATGATTTTTGCACAAAGCATCTAATATAGAATTATAAGTAATTATATCCGGTGGTTGACCTCTATCATGCATCTCATCAACAAGCTCCCAAGCATATGCGATTTTCCCCGATTTGAACAAGCCATCAATAAGGGAACTATAAGTTATTGTATTAGGAAAGATTTTTCTGCAACGCATTTCTTTGAAGAGAGTTATAGCTTCGTCAATCATTTTAATCTTACAGAATCCATTAATCATGATACTATAGTTCCAAACATCAGGAGTCACTCCCCTTTGGACCATAGTCTTGAATATATAATTGGCCTTGTTCACTTCATTTACTAAACAATATCCATCCATTAAAGAGGTATAAGTAACAACATTAGGCTTAATGCCTTCTTTAATCATCAAAGCTAACAAATTTCGCACTTCTTTCACCTTTCCTTCTTTACAAAAAGCATCAACCAATATATTAAAAGTAATAATATCTGGGTTGATGTTTTCCGATACCATTTTATTAAACAAATCAATCGGTTCTTTCAATTTACCAACAATGCAAAAGCCACTAATTAAAGCAGTGTAAGTGAAAACATTAGGAGAAATTCCCTTAGCAACCATTTCAGAATATAAATCACATGCATCATTGACAAGTTTATCTTTGCACAGACTATCGATGATTGTAGTGTACATTACCGAATTAAGCTGAATCTGTTTCCTGTCAAGTCTTCTCAACAATTGTAGAGCTGATGTTGTCTTTCCAGCTTTACATAAACCATTGATCAATGTCCCATAAACAACTTGGTCCAACTGAAATCCCAAAGCTAGCAACTTGTCATGAAATTGCAATGCTTTATGGAGGTCACCTTTGAGACAAAGACCCTTGATGAGTGTATTGAAGGTTATGGCATTTGGTTGATAACCCCTCTTGAGAATCTTTGTCAATACAGAAAAAGCAAAAGTGATATAACCCAATTGACAGAGAGAATTCATGAGGATATGGTGAGTTACATAATCAGGAGTAACTCTGTTTAATTCCATTTGGTGAGAAAGGGAAACAACAGTTGGGTGATGTTTGTTTTTGACAAGAGAACCTAAGATCTTGCCAAATTCAATGGCGGGTGGAGTGGGATTCTTATGGAGCATTCGGTTGAAGATGGAAACAACATCAATGTCATCGTGAAAATGTTGGAGACAGTAGTAGTGAGAGTGTGGTCTTGATTTGGGAATGGAAACAGAAGCAGCGTACCTTAAAAACGACATTCTTGTCTTGTCGGAAAACTGAACAAAATGTGTGTTGTATTGGAATACAAATTGGAATTGGAATTGAAATGGAAGAATACCTAAAATCTGAAATTGAAATTGGTAAAGAGGTTAATGTTATCTCTAAATAATCTCATATTCTACACTTCTTAGGTTAATACACGCTTTTGTGTCCGTTTTAATAAATAAAATTTATTTTAAAATAAATATTAGTTTTGTTATGAAAGAAGGTAAAATAGAAGAGAGAAAAATAATTTATTTCTGAAAAACTCTTTTGAATCCTTGAACTAATCACATAGTTAGTTTTTCATTTGTGTGCAATTTAGTGGGAGGAAGCTTACAAATATGACAGAAAAATTATCAAAATATTTATTTAATGGTGTTGGAATAATGAGTGGTTCGTTGATGGCTTACAAATATGACAGAAAAGTTATCAAAAGATTTACTCAATGGTGTTGTAATGAGTGGTTCATTGATGGCTCATGTTCTTAAATCTCAACCTGGACAGAAAGTTTAATTATAGTTTGTTTTTGAAACCAACTGATTACGAAATGAAAAAGTATATGATTTTATCTATGGTCTCTTCAAAATGAAATTCTTAAAAACCAAACTTTGATTTTTGAATTGACTTAAACAAACTTTGGCTTATGTCACCTATGTTCCTATACTAATCTTAAAATTGCAGTTATGATAATCCTCTAGCAATAAGTATCAGTTACAATAGAAATTAGTTTTATTCTAGTTTTACAGGATATACAATGTACTTTTGGGCCAAATTGAATATTTATACAATAATAGAATTCTCAAATTAATTTGACTATACTTTTATCATTTTTATACATATCTGTTATGGATTGAGCTTGCCCTTTGGCCTAACTACCAGTGAAGCCTAATCCAAGCATGTCAACCTGCTGTGCTGACCGGTATTTTTCCCGAGCATATCCCGACCACAGAGGCCTTGTCAGCCAAGACTGCTTCTCGTCGGTGCTCGCGGGGACCATCTCTGACGAACAGGCGCTCCTCCCGAGCATCTTCCTCGTAGGGCTGACTTCCGGCCTCTCCGGATTTCACGGAGTCTTCGTGGTCCCGGAAAGATCGCGTCCATATCCTCCCGGTCTTGCGGAGGGCGTCATCCAGGCAGGAGGGCCACGTGCGGGTCTCCGCTACACACGTAGCACCTGACAGTCTCTATGTTGGGCCTGTTTGATCGGTCCAATAAAGAGACATTGGCCCAGCGCTGGGGGCTATAAATACCCTTTCTTCCGAGAGGGCCAGGTATTGAACATCTTTCTCTGAACTCATACTTGCTTGCTCATTCCACAACTTACTTTGCCATCGGAGTGTCTTGCAAGTACCCCCCCCCCCCCCCCTCCCAATCTCATTTAACTTCTGCCCGAGCCAGTTGTGACGGTCTATTTCTGATCTGGTAAGATCAGTGGCGCCGTCTGTGAGAAACTTGCTTCCCCATCTTCTATTCACTTGAGACCAAAGCTAAACAATCCCCGACTGTTATAATCCCCCAATTCTACCCGGCAATTATAAATATAAATCAGAGTTATAAAATTTATGCAACTGAATCAGGATGCCACAAATTCTACTTTAAAAACATATTGCATTCAAAATGGACACATAACACTTTAAACTTTGGATGAACCAACAACAGAATAATTTAATCTCTTCATTCAACAACTTGAACAACTACGCAGCGGAATCATAATAACATCTTTGTCCAACAATTACAACAACTTCAAAATAATGCATACTTAGCAACAAACAAATTAAAGTTCAACAACTGAAATAATCAATAACTAAAAACAACAAGCGTTCATCCCCCCGAGTGTTACGTACCAGAGCAATGACACCGACTCGAACTACTGAAGGTAAACCACATTCACTCTGGATTACCTGCATGTTACCAACATAAGGGTAACATTCAAACAAAAGGGGTGAGATATCTAACAATATAATAAAACGTATGATAAATAATATATTAAATTAGATCACATAACATCACCACTTCTCATCGTATAAACAACAATAATCGCAACAGAATACCAACAATATACACATTTACCACATCAATACATAACTTCTTTATGCAATCATATAATGCGACTCAATACTATGCAAATGCATGTGGTACCATTGGAGTAGAACTCCCATCTCAAATAATTGCCAATAAATAGAGGCATCAACAAGGCATAAGCCTTCATCTTAATATTCGCCAATACAGGCCATCTTAACGAGCATCAACTCCATCTTGAAATGCAAAGTATGCGACACAATCATGAATGTAATGACAACAACCATAATTAACGATATCTCGACACAACATCATTGTTGGCCAGAAGCCTACATCTGAATAGCTGCCAATTATTAGAGGCGTGGCAACATCCTTCATCAACATCATTCATAAACATAATCCATCAACATAATTCATCGCATAATTCATCAACATAATTTCATCAACGTAATTCATTAACATAATTTTACAGCAACTCAACCACAACAATAATACAACGATAGATCGACAATCCCGTAACGTTGGCCATAGGCCTACAACGTGATAATGCCTATAATTAATTAATCATCTAAGGCTTATCTCTAAATTACCAAACCTCTACCTATTACTATTATGTAATACTACATCATTATCATCATTAATCTTATTGTTATGAACCAAACAATAATCTATAATCGTCTTATCCTCATCATACTTCACAAAATCATCATAGCGATTAACGCGGGAAGCTAACTCTAATCCTAATTTGAGTTACTAGGATTCTTCTTATTATCCTTCATTTTAATCCTTAAGAATGAATTTCATCGCGTTAGCTATCTAGCGCTTCTAACGACACCTCAAACGGAGTCCAAAAACTCAAGTTACAGCCTTCAGAAACAAATCTGCCAAAAATCAGACTACATGACTCGACGCATAATGTTTTGAGTCGACGCGTATTGGGCTAACATCCTGCATGAGTCGATGCGTACTCCCTTTGTACCGACTCATACTGAGTCTACAACACCGCATGTATCAACGCATGCTCCTTCGTATCGACTCATCCTGAGTCCAAAAACTGGCATGTGTCGATGCATGGCTTTTGAGGTCGATGCATACTGTGCTGTCATGAATATTTTCTGCGATTTCACTGTTTTTCACTACGGTTTTCCTGCCTTAGGCCCTAAAAACATCCTCTAATCATAGGTAATCATCAATTATAGTGATCTTATGTTTCTACATCAATTATACAGCATTAGGGCATCATTATTCATCTTTAAATCATTGATCTTCATCATACAACAATATATACATTCCAATCATAAACAAGACAACTTTTCACATCTAATCTCACATACTACTCATCATAAACCCTATTATAGAGTCAGAACCCCACCCTTACCATGGATTGAAGGTTGCTCTATAACTTTTCTAGTTGAATTATGTTCTGCCTCTTTTCCTTCTTTTCTGCAACTTTCATGTTCTCTTCCAACCCTTGTTTTCTTTCTCCTCTTACTGCTTCTTCTTTTTCCTTATTATTTCTAAAAACTAATATAATAATCCTATAATACTCATTATGCCTTAATGGGCTTAAAACTCCTACACCCATTTTCTACTACTTCTAGTCCTTAAAATAAGCCCACATCAAACAATATTATTATTCTAATATTATTCTACAACTTAATAGAATAAATAAATCCAATAACAACAACACATCGATTATCATCATAACACAACTTCACAAATATTCCAAAAATAATTTAATTAAATAATTAATTAAATTACGGGTGTTACAACTGTCATAGCTGACCAGACTCTAGACAACGTGAACGTCTGTATCATTGACGTCAACAACAACACCGCCGACAATAATGCCAGCCTCGACAACATCGGTATCGCCGACCATAACGCAGCCCCCGACATTAATATGTCCGCGCCTTATGACTATAGAGACGGAGAAACTGCTTCGTCATCATCACTTCCTCGTCGACTTGAAGATAACCGGCCACCTCCCCAGAACTACCAACACGTCCAGTTCCACGAGGTCCTCGTCCCCGCCGGGGCAGACGCCATGACCAGGGCACTGTTCGCAGCAATAAATTAGACCAACTACCTAATCTTCGCCCAGGGAGAAAGACTGAGGGCTCTCTAAGATGATCGAAGACCCCCAAGAAGACACATGAGACCTCAATCTCCTCCTCCTCGACAAACAGAGGAACATCCCCAATCTCCCCCGCAGAGACGTAGTCGAGACATCTCTCAAAGCCCATCTCCCCGACCAATCGGGCGACGACCCGCCTTAGAAAGGGAACCTCCCGTTGATGCGGGAAGGCGCGATCACGGCCCCTCGTGTCAAGAATGAAGACCCACTAGAGACAGAAACGGAGGAAACCACCAACGGTCATACCGCCCGAGAACCGCTCCACACGACCAGGGCCACCGTGACCGCCACTACATCAGATCTCCGTCTCGCTCGTCCGAACGGAGTGACGAGGACGACCCCCTCGGTCCCTTGTCACAAGCTATCATGGAGGCACCCATTCCCCCGGGCATGGAGAAGCCTCCCCACCTAAAGGAATACGACGGCATCGCCGACCCGGTCGAACACATAGATGAGTTTGAAGTCATGCTACACTATCACAATGTCGGGGGATCGATCAAATGTCGGTTGTTACCTATGACTCTGAGGAAAGTTGCGATGGACTGGTACAAAGGTCTCACCCCGGGGTCAATTACCTCTTGGCGAAATCTGAAGAACCAATTCATCAGTTCATTCACTGCTTCGCGATGAAACCCGAAGACCGAAGCAGCCCTCGAGGCCATCGTCCAGAGACACGATGAGACCCTGAGGGAATTTATTGACCGGTTCAACCGGGAGGCCATT